AATTTTAATCCAAGCATATTCATAAGCATGAGGGTGGTATGGTGCTTGTATATCATAGCCACTAATGTTGCCTTGAAAATAGTAAGATGGAGGCCGGGCATAGCTGTGCACACGTGTACACCCAGCACGTAGGAGGCTGAGGAAGGAGGATCTCTCCCAGTTTGAGGCCAGCCTGGACTACATAGTGAGCACAACTTCAACCTTAAGTACTTAGCAAGAGCTTGTTGAAAGAGAAAGAAAGAAGGAAGGAAGGAGAAAGAGAGAGAAAGAGAAAGAGAGAGAAAAAGGGAGAAAGACAGAAAAGAAGGAAGAAAAGAGAAAGAAAGAAAAAAAGAAAGAAAGATAAAAGAAAGAGAAAAGCAAAGCAAAGCAAAAAAGATAAAGGTGGCCTTGAAAAAAATATACAAAGGAAGAGTTTAAATTATCACTACCAACATATTTTTTTTCTTTTGAGGCATTTTATTGTTATTTATTAGAAGACATTTCAGATATTTACAATGTATAACCATATTATTATGAACATCCATGTGTTTTGAATTCTAGATTTTGACAGTAAACATCACACATCTGTGAATCCTCCCACCTCTGACTGATCTCCCTCCTTCCTCCTTAGGACATGGTTAATTACAATGTTGAATCTGTAGGCACTTATTATATTTAACGTTCTATAGTTATGATTTCTTCATGATATTTTGTGAGCACTGGTATTTTCATTTTCACTGTATTCTTTGTAGATATTTGTTTATGTCTGTGTTTCTGATGGAAATGGGTAACTTAAGGTGGATATTTTTTAATTCTGTCATGAACAAACCCTTTCAGATTCCCATTTAGAATGCTCCCAGAATCTACCCTGGTTCAGCTCATTGTCATCCAGCTCCACTATGTAGTAATCTCCTCACTAGTCCTTGCCCCTCTTCAATTACTTCTCAACACAGAAAGAAGAGGTTATGTAAAACATGCCAAGTCCAGTTCCTCCAGTGGCTGCCAGATCATCCAAGTGAAGGTCTAAGCCAGTGTCAAGTTTTGGAGAGCCTCGCTAGACCCTCAGTTACCTCCTTGACTCACTTTCTTCTCCTCCCTCAATTCAACCTCAAGCCTTCCTTGCTCTTCATCTGATGCTCCAAGCATTCTTCCGTCTTCAGGAAGTACCCGTGACTATTTTTATCTTCCATAGTCTCAAATAGACAGCTACATGATTAATAATTCTTTTTCTCTCCTTCAAGATTTTACTGAAATGTTGTCCACTCAGTAAAGCTCTCTTCAGTCACACTATTTATATTCCAATATGCTCTCTGAAGCCTTAGTTCCATCTTTGCTTCATTCTTCTTCCCAACACTTACAATTCTGACAGATAACACTTGCTGACTTCTTTTTTTTTCTTGTTAGTCCTCCCCGACTAGTGCAGTCACCACAGAAACCATTTTTCCCTCTTGTCTGACTTTCTTAAACTGAATCTAACACATATCCTGGCATTTCACCATCACTCAATAAATGTTCCATGCACAAATCAATGAGTGGGTACTGAAAACAGTCAGCAATGTTATATGGAAGTTTTAGTACTTTACACCTTTCAACCAAATAACCTGGGCTGAAAGGAGAGAAGTTGCCATATTAACAATCGGCTAACCATAGGTAGTCTTGGTTACCTATCATAGGATTGCAAAGAAATCATTAAGGAAAGAAGTCCTAAAGAAACTATAGTTCTTTTGGGGTAAGAAATGTCAGTGTATAACAGCAAAACAAGCAAATGATTTAAGGATATTCATCTGAACTGTTCGATCTGACCCCATCCATTTTGGTTCTTTGAAAGTTAACACACTGTGCTCCCATTTGACCTGGTAGAATTAAATACATGATCCCTTTCAGCAGCTTTTAGTTCTCTTGCATGACAATTATTTGTCCCTGTGTTGCTTTTTGGAACTCAAGCAAATCCTGATGAATTACCAGTAACGTCACTTACGTTTTTGGACCTTCAGATGAGTTTTTATCTTGGTCAACTCCTATCTTGCCAAATAGTGCTGTGGTACGTAGCGAGATAATACCATTTCACCTTGCCAAAGAGAAATTGTCATCACCAGGGACATTCTTAAAAGTAATAGTTCAATATAGCCATATGTAAACAATAGAGTTAAACGTATTTTTTTCTTATTTCCAAAAATATAGGCCACATGGTAGAAGGTTAGGTCAATGTTTTCAAAGCACTATTGTGTGACGCTTGTTGAGAATGGCTCCAAAATTTAGAAGCGAGTGAATAGCAAAATAATAATGACAGCTCACTCTTAAATACTTTTGTGACCCAAACGTTTAAGTGATCGTTTAATAGATATATTAATACTTCATTTTATCTAACCCAATGAAGCTGGTACTGTTACTCATAGAAGAGAGAAAGAATCACTAAGATGTTAAATAATCCATTAAGGATTACAGAGCTGAGATTCAGATGCAGCCGTCAGACAATAAGGCCCGAGTTTGTACTCTTAAGCATACCTAGGATAGGCCCCACACTTTGGGCTCTAAAGCAAACCTATTAAAGAATGATCCACAAGAAAATTGTACCATATAAATATTTTTAAACAAATTGATCCCTTGAAATTGTTGATAAATGTTTTTCCCTAATACTCTTTTAGGTAATACTTAGCATTTAAAAATGACTTTTTAAATTTTACATATGGCATGGAGGACTTTTCTTCTGCCTTTGTCCATGAAGAAGCTATAAAGATTATAACTAAGTATTTTGATATATTTGTATTTTGCCGCTTGGTGTACATTGCTTGTCTTGATATTATTCATGAGCTTTATTCAGCAAAGGGAAGAGAATTTATTGTAAAAAAATGGGAAAAGGAGGCCGGTAATACAGCTCAGTGGTTTAAGCACCTGCCTGGCAAGTGCAAGATCCTGAGTACAATTCCTGGTACCACAAAAAAAAAAAAGGGAAACTATTAATATACTCATAAATTTCTCAAAAACTAAATTAGTAATGTACTTCCAAAGACAGATAAGCCACAGCAGAATATTCTAGAACAAAAGAAACCACACTTTTTAAAATAAACTTTTTTAAAAAAGTATTTTGACCTTGCTTATGGATAGGAAGAAACAACATAGTGAATGTAGCCATACTTCCAAAACTGCTGTACACAGTTAATGCAAGCCCAATCAAAATACCATTAATGTAACTCACAGATTGAGAGAAAAACATTCCTAAAATTCATTTGGAACCAGAAGAGACCTAAAATAGCAAAAGCAGTTCTGAGCAACAAAGACAAGTCAGGGGGCATCACAATCCCTGACTTGAAATTATAATACATGGCCACTGTGATAAAATCTCATGGTAATGGTAAGAAAGACCTGATGATCAGTAGAACAGAATATAAGATGCAGATGCAACTCCAAACACACTCAGCCATCTTATCTTTGACAAGGGCCAAACATGTTCACAGGAAGGAAAGATAGACTCATCAATGAATGCTACTGGAAAAACTGCATTTCCTTATGGCAAAGACTAAAACTAGACCCATGCTTATCACTATATACTACACTAAAGTTAAATGGATCAAAGATTTAAATGTTAAAACAGAAACAATAAACCTACCGGAAGAGACAATAGGTAGAAATCTTGAAGACATAGGTACAGGCAGAGACTTCACGAACAAAACCCAGACCAACAGGGAATACTACAAAAAATCAACAATTGCGATTTCAGTTTATTAAAAAGTTTTCCACACAAAAGAAATCACTAACAGAGTGAAAAGAAAACCCATAGAGCAGAAAAAAATTATAACTAATTGTTCCTTAGACAAAAGACTTATATCTAGAACACATAAAGAATTGAAAAAAATCAGATCCCCCCAAACTCAAAGACCCAATTGAAAAAATGGGCATCTGACATGAATACATATTTCTCAGATAAAGAAATACAAATGTCAAATAATACATGAAAAAAATGTTCAACATCATTGGTCATTCAAGAGATGCAAATTGAAAAAACTCTGAGATTTCACCTCACTCCAGAAAGAATGGTTGTAATCAAAAAAATCAACCAATAAGAGATGCTGGCAGAGCTGTGGGGAAAAAGGGACCCTTCTCCACTTTTGGTAGGAGTGTGGACTGGTACAACCCCTGTGGAAATCAGTGTGGAGTTTCCTCATAAAACTAGGGTTTGAGGTCTGATTTGATTCAGCTGTTCCCCTTCTGAGTATCTTCCCAGAAGAATTATAAACATTATGCAACAGCAATATATGCAGCCATATTTACAGCAGCACAATTTGTAATAGCTAAATCTTGGAGACAGCCTAAATGTCCATCAACTGAGGATTGGATAACAAAGATGTGCTCCCTTTATACAATGGTGTACTACTCTGCAATATAGAAAGATAAACTTAAAATTTTTAGAGGTAAATGGCTATAATTGGGAACCATAGTCATAAGTGAAATAAATCAGATTCACAGGTAAACATCATATTGTCTCCCTAGTATGAGAAGCTGAAAGAATACACAAGATTGAAAATGTACAATAGGTATTTTGAAAAGGGAGGAAACTGTTCAAAAGGAAAGAGAAGTTGGGATGGGATAAGGAGAAACAAGTAAGGGAAAAGAAAAAAATATGTATCCAAGATAGTTAAAATAATTATACTACTAGTTTGTCTTAGTTCATTAAAAGGAAAGGTTTGTACTAATATTGTTTGGACCATGTTTCATGCCTTTATCTTGCACTCTGAGTAACTACTTTGAAGATAACAATGCAATATATTAACTATTGTTATTCTCCTAGTATCATGTTTTGACGTTTTGTTTTACTCTTTAAAATCAAAATAATGATGATAATACTTTGGGCATTAATTTTGAAGGTTGTTTTAGTCACTTTGTTAAATTCATATTTTTGGAGAGAACTGTGCCTGCTACTTCTCAGAGTTGGGAAACAATTTCATGGTAAGCCTCTTCTCCCTGCCACACTCATGTGTTTTCTCTGTCTGTGTGTGTATGTGTGTGTGCTTGTGTTGCAGGGAAGGCCAGCAATCACCAGAACAATGGCAGAAGACCTATGGCAGGTGCTCTGGGAATGAAGTGTACCACATTGTTTTAGAAGAAAGCACATTTTTTGCTGAATATGAAGGAAAAAGTTTTACGTATGCCTCTTTCCATGCCCACAAAAAGTACGTTTCTGGTTCCAGGAAACATCAGTCAATTAAAATATCAACCAATGAATCAGTCAGTTTATGTATCAAAACATTTAAACAGTTTCTACAACACAACCCATATTAGTGCATAGGAATTTAAACTGTTTTGAAATTTTTGACATGACTACCATCACATTTGAACTCTCACCATTGTGTGGTCTCTATAAATTGAGATTATCAAGAGCAAATTATAACTCAGGAGTAGTAATCATTTTAGCAACTTAAGAAAAATAGAAATGTATCTTCCTTACAGAACTAAAATTTAGAGTTGATCAAAAATTTAAACAAAGTAATAATAAAATATCTAAAAACCACACAAATAGAAAAATATTCCCAATGGCTCTTGTTTTCCATGAAGAATGTAAAAGTAAAATGGAAGCATTCAAATTTTTTTCCTTTTTGAGAAAAATATTTATGTAAGAAATAAAAATGTAGGTACATTATAAAATAATCTACTATCTGTATTTTGAATATACTGTATCTTAGGGATTCATAATATAGTATATTCTACCAGTCTAATATTATTCCATTTTGATTTTCAATGTGATTCTATGTATATGTGTGTATATATATATTATCACTGTGTAAAAATATTTTAAGAATTTGTTTAAACTGTGCTAATGTAGAACATGCTAAAATAAAAATACTCCAGAGAATTTCTATTTGGTATATAACACAAAATTTAATAGAAGAAATATTAAAGTAGACTGTACTTTCTAAAGTTCTTATTTCTCCTAATTATACTGCACAATTGTTCAGGATTTTTTAAAAAATGTTTCTGAAACTTAAAGTATATCAAACATGCTAGAAATAATATTAAAAGGAATTCAGAGGGCCTTGCCTGCTTTCAGATGATCTCCTTAAGTTTCTTTCTTTAGGCCAATAGTTCATAAACTTTTTTGATTAAAGAGATTTTCTTTCTATTTTTGAACAAAGTAATTTTTTATATAAAATATTATTCTTTTTGTATGGTATGTCCTCTGATGTTTTATGTTCACTATCATTTTGTCACAGTTATATTTGTACTAATAATATAAGAATCTGTTTTTACATTGACATCATTCTTTCCCTTAAAATGAGAGGCTTTAACTTGAAGGATTCTTTTAAACTTCAAAATTCTGTGATTTGCAGTTTTGATTTCTTCTGCCTTACAACAGTTTACTGATTTTCTTACTTAATTAAACTTTTAAAAAATAGATAGATCCTAAGACCTTGGCTGAATTATAATTCTTAAACTCTTCTTTTCTTTTCTTTTTAAATTAAGGTTTGGTGTCTGCTTGATCGGTGTTAGGAGGGAGGATAATAAAAACATTTTGCTGAATCCAGGCCCTCGGTATATTATGAATGCAACAGACATATGCTTTTACATTAACATAACCAAAGAAGAGAACTCAGCATTTAAGAACCAAGACCAGCAGAGGAAAAGCAATGTCCCAAGGTCATTTTATCATGGACCTTCCAGATTACCTGTACATAGCATAATTGCCAGCATGGGTAAGTACAAAGAAGTCCAAAAAAGTAAGCCTAAGGTAGCCTTTACCATACTAAAAAGGGAATGATAAACTTACTTTCACTTTAGTAAAATCTCAAAGCAAATTTGAAAATCCATGTTCATATTACAAACTATGACTAGATATACAGAATGAAATGTTAAAGTAGGAAAAGTAAGACATTACAAAAATATAGTCAATACTTGTTTTATATATTATATACTGTAAGTACGTGATTACTATATTTATCATGTACATTATCTATCCAATTATTCACAGAGACTGTTTCCCGTAGTATGTTTTTCTCAAAATTCTATTTCCATTTCCCATCTCATTCTCATCATTGACTTGCTTCTATCACACACACACACACACACACACACACAGACACACACACAGAAGAAAAGGACAAGAAAAAGAAATACAGCAGATCACCACAAATAAGAATAGTCTTAATATTTTATCACCAAACCCCTCAAGATCTATAAAGAGTTTTTGCACAAGAAAAATATGTACTGCCTCTTAAGTAATTCTAAAGCCTTGACTTAAGCAATGGACCCACCTTCGTTTTTCTTCTCAAAGACTGCATTTCTTGATTCATCCCTGTTACCCAATTTCATTTTTTAATTAATTAATTAATTAATTTAGCATAATGGCAGGTGGATCCTCCCCCTCTTCATCCCATCATCCTTTCATCTCCTCCGCTTCCCCATGTCTATGCATATGAACAAACATGGGTACTTTTGAACCTCCTGGTATGACACCTTCATAATTCCTCAAGCATACTGCCTTCTTCTGAAGCCTTGAAATCTTATGCTGCTTGTGTCTTTATTCAGTTCAGTCTCTGATCATATCACTGAAATTCCTTGAGCAAGGTCCTCCCTTTCCTCCACTGACTGTCTTTATAGCAAATAGTAACATCTGCCATGCTTTCTTCGAAAAATCTAGTGTCTTTTCTGTGCATCGCATGTCCATCTTTCCAGATTGTCTCATGGATTCAGCTGTGCTCCAGAGGATCACATTTTCTTTTCCTAAGTTATTAATGTAAACTTCTTTCCACAGCAATATTCAATATTTAACTGGCCAGCAGATATTTCTGTCTGAGTTCTTACAGGAGTAATCAATACAAAAGATTGAACCTCCCCACCTGCTTCCCTCCTTTTTTGTTTGCTAAAAACAAACATACCATTGTTTCGCAATTTGTGAAGCCATAACCTGACTTATACTGCCTCTCTCCTGCCATACCTCATAAGTCGTCTTATTCTATTAAATCTGATCACAGGATTGCTCCTAAAACCATTCATATCTTCTCATGCCCATTACCCAATGTCACCCGAGTCTGTGCCTCTTTTTCTGGAGCTGCTGGGCTGGATTCCTTGTCTTCTCTCTTTGTCTCCAATCTTGCTGTCCTGTACTCTGTTCTCCAGCCCACAGCATGGTAATCATCTTTAAAGATAATTTGGGTAATGTCATTCTCCTCAATCAGCCATTTTACCAGTTGCCTTTTACTCAGTAAAAAAACGTCTAACAGCATCATCATCAGAATGACCAAAAATTCATATCTGTATGAGGCAATCCCAGTTTACCTAGGGAAGTCCAAGTTCCAATGTAATTGTTAAGAGCGCTCTATTTCATTCCTAGGAGTGCTGGACTTGAAAGATAAATTATAGCCACTTTACTTATGGGCTTTTAAAAATGACTTCTTATTTTTATGGCCTCACATTTTACTACACTTTTAATTATTCTCTTAAACTCCTGTCATCCTAAATTCCTTTCAGTCCTCACTAATGTTTGCTCACCAGTGGACCTTAACTGCTGACACAAGTGCATTCTACCCCCATTATTATCTAAGTAACCGCTTCTAATCCTTTATATCATAGTCTAAAAAAAATCGACTTTCTAAAAAGTATTTCATGGCCTAAGTAGGTAAATATTTTCATAATTCAACAACTACTTATTAGATACCTAATACATATCACAACTCATAACTATTAGTGACTTTTAAAAAATTAGTCAAAATATGGGAAGGATGGGCAATAAATATAAAAATTATATCAATTCAGTGAATTATTTATTGTTAGAAAGTCATAAGTACTAGGAAAAAAGAAACAGAGCTAGCAGAAGGAATTATAAATTTAGGGAGGACTAGATTTTTAAATGATTTGCTTAGCAGCCTCATTAGAGAGGTGGCAATTGACCAAATACTGGAAGGAAATGAGGAATTTAGTCGAGTAGATGTCTGGAGGAAAAACACTGGGGGCAGAGACAGTGATTAGCTCAAAGTGCACTTACTGGGAGCTTGACTGGGTGTTCTTGGACCAGCGAACGAGCACTGTGACTTGGGACGGCAAATAATGAAAGCATCGGAGATGAAGAGGGACAGATGGGGAGAGGTCAGATCATGTTGGCCTTTTAAGGCAAGAGCGAACCATTGTGAGGTTTTAAGCAGGGCAACTGCCTGAACCCACCGAAATTCACTCATATTTTAAAACAGATTCTCCAGTTGCTATGGAGAATAGATGTTTGGAGGCAAGTGTCAGGGTGTTTTCAAATAGAAATGGTAAGACAGACAGAATTCTGGATGTATCTTGAAGACTGCAGTGCACAGGATCCCTTACAGAAATGCAGCTGAGCTATGAGGGGAGAGAATCCGGGAGGACTCTGGGATTTTTGCTTTGAGCCACTAGATAAAGGAAATATCAATGGAGATAAAGCTGTGAGGAATGCACGTTGGGTGCCAGGGGATATAAAGAGTTTAGTTTGGAACACACTGGATTTCAGATGAGTATTAGACATCAAGAGGAAGAAGTCAGACAGAAAGTTAGATATAAGGATTCTGTTTCAGGAGAGAGGTGCAGCTTGCAGAATCAAATTTTGGCTTTCTGAGCTTATATATTCTTGTAAAGCCATAAGACAAGGAAAAGATCGTTAAGAAAATGAGTACTGAAACAAAATTCTAAAGATAAAGAACAGATTTCGCAGCAAACCAACATTAAGCAACAGGGAGGTGAAAAAAGCCTAGCAGAAACTGGGTCTACTGGCAAAGTGGTAGGAAAACCAGAGGAGAGGGGTCTAGAGCACTAACGAGCCAGTTGTATGAGGACAGTTGCATTATAAGACACGTCAGAGGATGCTCATAGGTCATGTAAGAAGAGGACTAGTGATTGTCAGTTGAATTTAGCAATGGAATGATTACTGTTCTTTCAATAAAGTAGCACTGAGGAATGCCAGATTTGAGTGGGTCGAGGAAGGAATGATAAAAGACAAATTGGGAACACTAGGTCTAGAAAACTCTTAAAAGATTTTTCACAAAAGGGGGCCAAGAAATGGCTTGGAAGTTGGTAATAGAAAGACAAGGAGTTGAGAAAGATTTGTTACCCAGGGAAATGTTTGCAAGAGAAAGCAAATAATTAACTTTCACTACTTATGATATGTGTGTGTGTGTGCATGTAGCTAATGATGATTATATGTTGTTAACTTTTACATCACACATCAGTATGTCATATAGGTGACAAACGTCTTGATGTGTTTTCATGTTTCATTGCTCTAGGTACCGTGGCCATAGATTTACAAGATACAAGTTGTAGATCAGCAAGTGGTCCCACGCTGTCTCTTCCTGTAGAGGGAAGCAAAGAAATAAGAAGACCTAGCATTGCTCCTGTTTTAGAGGTGGCAGACACATCATCAATTCAAACATGTGATCTTCTAAGTGACCAATCAGAAGATGAAACTGCACCAGATGAAGAAATTTCTTCAAACTTAGAGTAGGTTTAGATATTCTTAAGTATAAAATTTTTTTTGGTTAATACCCTGAAGTATTATATTTAGGTACCACATCCATAATGAAGAGGCTAAAACTCTTACCTGATGGACATTCTAGACTCATTCCTTCACTACTGAACCAAAACAATCAGCCTATTGGCCACACTCTGTCTTGACTGCAGAGCATTCTAAGCCTTCAAGTTTCTGGCTTCATCATACTTTTTTCAGTTTCATTTTTGTCTAAATTATCCAATATTCAGATATGTATTATATACGTTTTATATATATTCATATTCATAGGATATAAGCTGCATTTTCACAGGCATATGTTTATGGTCTTGTGCCTTCTACCATTAATATCTTCTATTCCATGTCTATGTTGATGTTTAATCACTTATTCACTGCCATGCAAGTGCAGCTTTCTCCCTTAAGCCTTTTCTTTCTCTCACCAATTAGTAATTATTGCACTCCACACGTAACTGTAGTATTTTTATTTGTGAATAAAATAAATACTCTCTCCCTTTTGTACACTTTCATTTTTACAGCCTAGCTATGTCATATGAGGCACATGTTAGCTTGAAATAGAATTTGTTTATGTATCTTATTTGACATATTGCATTTGCAAAAGGAACGGAGAAAGGAAGTGTACCAGCTCACAACCTTGACTGTAGAGTCTAATAGACTTTATTTCCCATTCCGGCTCCACCTTGTACTGGTGACATATTAAATTAAATTAAACGACCTGACCTGCAACTTCTTGACCAGTACTCTACACATAATTACTACCTCACAGCATTATATGAAGATTAATTAAAACAATAGAGAAAAAGTGCTCAAGACAATGTTTTGTGCACCGTAAGTAGTAAGTAAACATTGATTACTCTTAGCAGTAGTACCGATAATAGTGGCTTTGGTACTATCAGATCCTAACCTTTTCCCAATACCTGTACATAAATTCAGTTAAGGTTGAATTAAATGAAAATAAACTGAAATACATTAAAACTTAAAAAAATCTCCGTTTGAAAAATCCCACGTGCTTTTTTTATTCACCTACTGCAACAAGCTTTGTTCCACCCTTTGAATAAAATCTTCTCTTGAAGAGTTCCTGTCTGAGCCCTCAGAGAATTAATGGGACCCAGGATGGGAACGGGAGGTGTGGCAAGTAGTGTCTTTGCAAGTAACATTCTCTTGAGGTGCAACTGAAATTCTTTCTTTAAACTTCTGAAATAATTGAGTGGTATTTTTTTATTTCGAAAATAAAATGAAAACAATATTGAGGTAATTGGAGGGATGGCGTAACTTATCAACACTTTCAGGAAACACAGTTTCAAGTAGGTCCAAAGTGTATGGTTTCTCAGGTAAACTGATTGAAATCAGAGCTTTTTTGTGGGGGAGGGGTAAAAGAATTTTCTTGGCACTAACTTTTATTTCCTGATTGTCATTTATGCTTCTGTGTTTTAGAAGACCACTGTTTGCAGCAATACAGCCAAAATATGCAGGTGGCTATTTTGTAAATGTTAGCAAACAAACCAAATGTCTTTGGTAATATTTTAAATGAGATTGCAGCAAAAACTCTTTCTAACTAATTAACTCAATCATTTGCTCCCTTTTGGTTTTGTGTTCATGGCTGATGAATATTGATAAAGTGGATCAAAATGATGCATTTTGCTTTAAATATATTTGTAACAATTAATATTACTATTATTAAAATATATCTACATCTTCTAAGCTGAGAGTTGTGAACTTTTCTAGTTGTGAACTAGAAAGAAACTGGTAATACATGGGGTAGGCTTTACATTGTGTATTGCATCTACTCTTCTCTCTGGGAGCCCAGGGACATATTTGCACAGTACATAAGTGAAGAAGAATGTATTAGAAGAAGCTATATTTATAGATACAAAATTAGAACTTCATATCATTTCTCAGTGACAGAAAATATCACATTGATATTTTTCAGCCATTTAAAAATATCAAGCCACCCTTTCCTTTCAAGTCTGTAATAAGCCAAACTTAATCCCTGAGTTATAATTTAACCCTCTTGTTAGAAACTGTTGTTTTTATCAAAATATAATTATGATGCAGTTATTGGTTCTACTTTATCAAATAAGAGAACATGATCATAACTTAATTTTCCATGGTAATATTTCATATATTTTGCAGGTATGCTAAAGGTTACCCACCTTATTCTCCATATATAGGAAGTTCACCTACTTTTTGTCATCTCCTTCATGAAAAAGTGCCATTTTGCTGCCTAAGATTAGACAAGGTGAGCGCTTGTTATACTCCTTGTTTTACCCAGTAATAAAATTACAGCACTATATAATTATATCTATTTAAATAATATGTACAATATTGTGACTAAAGTATATTTAAAGGATATTCTTTTCAAATAAAAATTTAATTACTTGAAGTGGTTAATTTTCCATGTTTAATTTCACTAAAGATTATAGAAATGTTTTATTCCTCTACACTAACCAAATGGCTCAGGAGATATGGTTTTAAGGGGTAAGGAGAGAGTACCAGAATCTCAAACCTATGAATCCTTAACATAAAAACCATGCCAAAATCACTTTGGATGAATGTGCATTATTCATTTTACCATTTTTATTTTAAAAAGTTTCATTGTGGAGTCTCTTGAAATCATGAGGAGTTAGCTCTAATATGATAAACATGAAAGTGTGTCTATGAATAGAGCAGAAGGCAGCATACATAGCTTGCCTAATATCTCCTTTTGCCTTCTTGATGTAGTAATTCTTGGTTTGTCTTTATATGGTCTAAAGAAGCTGCTCAAACAAAAAAAAATTTGAAAAATTCTGAGAATTCTAGTATTTTTATCTTTTTCATAGTATAGCTAGTGGACAATATAGATAAAAATAAGAATCTTATATATGAATCCTAGATATCCAAAGAGTCTACTAATTGTAGCTAAAATTTGGAGTTAGAGTTAAAATCCCAGGCCTCCACTTAGAAGTTGTATTTTATTTTTTTAATTTTAATTTTTTTATTTTAAAAATAAAAGAAGGAAAACATTAACAAACAGACATGTATTTACAAAATAGCACAAGAACAATACAAGCAATACTGAATTACAGACAAGGTGACAGGAAATTAACAATGGTTGTTATATTACATATTGATATATCAAAGTGGTTACTCAGGAAAACAAATGTACACATGCAAGACTGATCAAATAATTAATCATTAACTTTCCTTTCAGTAAAGCCATAGAGGTCAGTAGTACAACTATGTTAGCTACTCTATATATACATATATACATAATTTTCCCTTTCTTTCTTTTTTCTTTTCCGTCATCCCAGTTGCTCTTTACTTTTGAGCAGTTTCCTTCTGTTTCACAATGTCTATTATACCTCCTAGTTTTTATTCACTCTTTCAAGTTCTTACACTAGTGAGACAATATGTTGCTTACACATGCAGGTCTGATATATTTCACTTATGAGTATGGTCTCTAATTGTGACCATTTACCTATAAAAGCCTCGAGTTTATCTTTCTTTATAATAATATTCCATTATATAAAAACGCCAGAATTTTTTACTCCATTCCTCAGTGGATGGACATTTGGGCTGCTTCCATGATTTAGCTATTACAAATTGCACTGCTATAAACATGGGTACATAGCTGTTCATTTTAGACAACTAACTTCACCAATAAATTTCAGTTTTCTCATCTGTAAATTGAATATAATTTTAATACCAACTTTGCAGTGTTCTTGTAAGGTTTATATATGTTCAGTTTAATAACAAAGGGATTTAATAACAGAAGTTACTTAATTCACTTTAATAGCCTTATTATTTAATTTACTTTATTAATATTCCTGTTTTGTTATAGATAAACATTATACATTTTGGTTATTGTCATCATTCTTGAAGGAGAAGATGAAGAGAACAATAGAAAACTCCTCTTTATCTCCCTGAAGTTGGTTATAAATTTTGTTCTCACACCTAAATGTTTATCTGTGTCCATTGATATGGATAATTCTGGTTTTTGAAGCTCTTTTATTGCAGTCTTCATTTTAATTTGATTTTCTGAAACATTTAGTATTTATCTCCAGCTGTGCATTTATGATAACTAAATTTAGAAAATCCTTAATTACAGGGCTACTCACCTGCATCAATTCTTCCCATGACTAATTTTTTCTATGACTAATTTTTTGTTTAAAATATTATTTTCCTTAAAGAAGTTTCCTGATATCATACATTTCAGTCACCAGAAAACGTAACCTCATTTCTTGGGGCTGTCACTTCTTTGTCATATACTGTTAAAGAGGAATAAAATATTAGGAGCCCAGATAGAAGATTTGTCTTCAGCTAAGGAACCTGATCCATCTGCAAAGCTCAAATTTTTAGAACTGAGCATTTGTAGGTGAATAATAACTATTTACCATTAGCTGCTTCTTTACCATACTACCTAGCACTTTTTCCACCTTAAAAAATCAGTGTAACAACCATTGTTGAATCATAGTATCTTATTTTCTGAAATTCTGTATCATTTCTAATGGTTTTTTTTTATTATTATTTTTAACTCTCTTTAAAAGAAAAAAAGGCAAAGCTTCTAAGTTTTGCTGGTTGCCAAGTATCTGGAACTATTGGTTATGGAAGTAGCATTAGGATGGTAGGAGGTGTCTGCTATGTAAATCAATGCCTTCAGAATTTGGGGATGAAATTACACAGTTGACTCATGTGTCTATGATGTGTATGCACTGAGATCATATTACCAGTACAGTCTGTTCAAGTGTCAGCAGGCTGGTATTTTGTTCATTGTCTCCTGGAATGTTCCTTAGTAATTTAACCATTTCTAATTTCTGTAGGGATTCTCATTTTCCCTAACATATTTCATAAACAGGGTCAAAATATCAGCCCCTCACTACTCTCCCATTTGCTCCTCTTGAATCACCTGATTTCTTTACCTGCTTATATTAAAAGTGCACCTAATACCCTTTAATTGAAGATTTGCCTCATTCTTTACCATTTTTTATTGCCATTTCCCCCTCTTCCAGGTACTTTAGATCTCTTTCTTCTATTTAATTTTCTACTCCCTAGATTACAGTCATTAGAATTTGTTAGTGAGATTTGTTGTTGACATTTTTTTTCTCAGTCATGTTCTGGTTTGCAATCTTATTTTGTCTTCTTCTTAAAAAACACAAAACAAACAAACAACAACAACAACAAAAAAAAACAAAACTAGTTTTGCTTACAGTCAAATTCCAGGCCAATATTTGCTACTTTTAGCATTTTAAGACCTTTATTTTGTGCTTCTTGTCCCAGTTGGAAAGTTAGCCTTTCTTCCAATTCTGTTTCTTGTAGGTAGTCTTTGTTTTTTCTGTGGCAACCTTTAGGATCTTATTGTATTGCTGTTCTATGTTTTCATTACGATGTGTAGGATTATGCATTCTTTTCATTTGGATTAGGATTCATAGTTTCCTGATGATTTGAGTTTTTAATCATGTCTAGAAAATCCTCCATCAATATTTTCTTAAATAAGTCTTCGCTTTGATTCTGATATCTCTAAGTTACTCTTATTAAATATGTGTTAAATAATCTGAAACTGTCTTCCAGGCTTCTTAAGTTTTCCTTTTCTATTTCAGTTTCTTTCATTTCTTGCTTTGGATTTGGGGAATATTTTCAACTGTACTCTGCAATTGGTGCCTTCAGCTGCATTATATGTATAATTTAAATCACCTTTTGAGTCACACTCTTTAGTCTGAAAATATATAGAGAAATAGATACATTTTTAAACATCTTCCTTAGATATTTTAAATAGTGTCCTGGTTTTTGTTCACAGTTTGAACGCTCTGTCTTGTTCCTTTGACCATATTGACCAAGCACAACTTCTTATTATGCATCTACCACAAAAACTGTAGTCTTTGTGGGTCTAATTATTTTGTTTATTATTTTTTGTCTATTCATGATGTATTCCTCCCACCAGTATTTTGCAATATTTTACTGCAGACCAATGACAAAGAATATCTCAAAGGGAACTAATTTCAACTCAAATAAAGACAAAGAAACCCATGTAGAGACATGTAACATGAAAAAGTAGACTACCAAAGCAGTTTCCCATGTTGGTATTTCAATTTAAAAACACTCTTGGTTTAGTAGTATTAATCTCAGCTCATTCCAGACTCTTGAGGTGTAACCAGATGTCCTCAGACTGACAATGGGCTTTGACAATGTATTGTTCTTGTTTCTGTTGCTCTTATTTTCATTACTGTACTTTTCAATATTTGCATTGTTACCTTCACAGCTCTGCTATGCATGTAGACAGCATTTTTCTTCATTCCTTTTTTAGTTCATCAGTACTAGAAATATTTCTGAGGCTATTTAGTTATAATATTATTATATTTCTGGCAATGAAAGTCATAGGTAGGTAATTTTTCAGTATAGACACCCAGCTGTCATCTAGCAGCAAGGTTTACTGTACAGCCGGACATGCGCACACACATACTGCTGACTCTTAAACATCAAGCTTCATCTCTAATGATCCATTTGCCTCTTCCATGCATACCTGTTTTTCCTACCTTACATTGAAGAGCTGGGCAAAGATAAATGTAACCATCTGCACATTTATTAGAAAATAAGGATTTATGTTAATTAAGTTAATTTTATATTTCCATATATCCTACTATTTTTTACCATTAGTGGAGTATAAAAGTGGCATTTCTTTGTATAATTTTTCTTTTCTAGAGTTGCCAGCACAACTACTATGAGGATGCAAAAGCTTATGGATTCAAAAATAAGCTAATTATAGTTGCAGCTGAAACAGCTGGAAATGGATTGTATAATTTTATTGTTCCTCTCAGGGCATATTATAGACCAAAGAAAGAACTTAATCCCATAGTACTGCTACTGGATAATCCGTAAGTATATTTTAAATGACACAAACATGACAAAGAGTTTTTAGTATTATATTATGTATACAAAATAATTCACTTTAACTTAATGGTAGTATTTTAAATCAGATACATTATGGTACACAATTCATTAGGAAATAAATTCGATGCTATGACAAGATCATCGAATATAATATAATATTTCACAAATACTACTTAAAACATCAGTGGAGTACTCTAAGACTTTTGAAATTATTTTGTAAGTGATCATCCACTCATAATGCCTTGGGAAACAGGATACTGATGGAATTAATGCAACTTTTCTTAAATTAACTAGCTTGTAAAAATTCTGCCAAAACTGAGCTATTTCCTTGTCTTTCTAATAAACCATTAATTATCAGAGAAGCATGTATTGATCCATTTTATATGTTGTACCATGGACCATCATCATACATTATTGTTGTACTATTATTAAAACTTAAATTCTGTTATATTGCGCAAGTAATGTTTTATCACATGTATTGATTTTGAAGCTAATCAACCGGCTTATGTTAGTCAAAAAAAAAAAAATTACTTAGGTATTTCAGAAATTCTACAAATGCTAATGTAGCTCACTTAATGAAATGGTCAATGCCCTTTTTTCCTAAATTTAGTCCTTTCTGTGACAGAAAATTAATAACAGTGGGCCTTAGATCAAGATCATATTTTAGGATCCTTTCATTTACTTCATCCATTCCAACATGATGTAAATTTTGGGATAAATTAAATGCACCAAATTCTATTGCTTTCTCACTGCTTTTAAATTTATCAAAAGAAGTTTTTCTAAACAGGTATTATAACTTCATGGTGCATTATGCTTCATGGTGTTGGTTTTTCTGAATGTACCAACATCAAAATACTCACTTGATGTCTCTTTTTTAGTGACGTCTTCACAGCTGTACCACTGAATTGAGCACACTTGTAGACTTTTTCTTTGAAAATTTTGCAGGTGTGATGTTACAATGACTTTCTTAGAACCTCTTTTGCATTAAAGAAAAGAGAGGCATATTGAGGGGAGGCTTGGGTAAACAGACACCTGGACCCAATGTCAGAGCAAAGGAAAGTGTATTAAAACAAGTCTTAGGAAGAGAAAAATTGGTTGTGAGATGAGTGACTGCAGCAATAGCCAGGTTGCTAAATCCTGCCATGCCTCTGATCACAGTCTTGATTCTGAAGCTTTTCTGGAGGAAAGCTGCAAAGGAAAGGCTGGGCTGGCACAAGAGAGCAGCTGAATTCACTATGTGCACTCAAATTTGTCAAGGTCTGACTCTTTATTTATGATGTATCTGCTTCCCACATGATAGAATGTGCAAACTGAGAGTAGCCTCGTTTTAGAGGACTTGAGTCAAACTGGGTCAATTCAAGCCCCAGGTTACAGAAAGAACTGAAGACACTTGAGAAGGAAATAGAGGAACTGTGTTTATAGTATCCCTCTTGTAGGCTGAAAGCAAAAACTACCCTTTCTTCTTCTTAATTTATTTCAAGATAAAAATTCTTGTCCTGGTGTGTAACTCTTCCCCCCAAAATCAATCTCCCAAATCAAATTTGGGAGCGGAGCTATCTCTGTGAGATAGAGACTGTATTAGTTAACTGTTATCCCCTGCTGGGACAGAATTCCTGGCACACGCGTCTTGAAGGAAAGGCTTATTTAGGGTCACAGTTTCAGTCTACAGCAGGCTGGCTCGTGGGAGAAACATCTTGGCTGAAGTGCATGGTGGAGCCAAGCTGCTTACTTCATAGAGTCTGGAGAGCAGGATGCACGGAAGAGAACCCTAGAAGAGGTGCGGCACGCCTCCTGTGACCTAGTTGCCTAGGTAGGACCAGACAGGCCCTACCTCCTCGTAGCCCTCTGAGCTCATGATCTAAGTCATCACATAAAAGCCCCACTCTGTGACACTAACATTCTGCAGGATGTTTTTGATGCAAATCATAATAGAGAGGGACTCTTCTTTCTCAGTCTCCAGTCTTGTTATGCAGTGCCCTCTCGGAAACACTAATTACCCTCTCTTGACCTCATCGTGCCAGTGAGTAAGAGCTAAGGAATCATTTCTATGGGCACCTCGTGGAGACTGGAAAGTTACTACCTTGCTCCCTCTCTGGGTTTGAATACATAAATTACCAAAATGACTCCAGAATGATGGATTTGTTTATTAGGATTCTAAAGTAATGTGATTGCAAAGGCATAATTCCCTCCATCAATCAATCACAGAAAAACCTTAAAATTCTTTATCTACTTACCAAATTGGTCTGTGTGAAAAAATATGAATATATAAATATTGATGTAGCATTTGCAGTTTATCTTGATAAGCAATATATTCATACTACATAGAGACAATTTAGCCATAGAGAGACGGGCCAAACAGTTTAAAAACTCGAAGCTTAAAAATTACAGTGTAAACACTTCCACAAACTAAAGGCTGAGTGACTCAAATATACTGGTGATTTTACTTCACACCTGTTATAAAGCAGAGCCAAAGAAGTTGTCTGACCTTTTCCAAAGTCAGTTGTAGGGTTAGAACTTTCTATGCAATTCCTAATGCATCTTTCTTTTGGTTGTATGATCTTGTCTATCTTACAGTCTTTGATTTTTGAAATCATATATATATATTTTCAATTATTTTTGAAAATAAGAGTACTTTTAAATTTAGAATATTTTTGCATTAAAAATTACATTACTTGCCAGGGATATAGCTCAGCGGGGCAAGCGCCTGGCTGGTAAGCATAAGGCCCTGCGTTTGATTCCTGGTACCAAAAAAAAAATTGTGACATTTCCCTAATGATTTACATTTTAGAATCTACCTGTTCACAAGATACTGCTATTTGATTATTACTGTAAGATTTGACTTTATTTCAATGTATTGTTATATTATTATCTGCCATGATTATTATGATATATTTGTTAGGTTGAAAAATCTGTGCTGTAAGATCCAATAACTTCCTGTGTACTTCCTAAAAGTGGCGTCTAACGCTTTTATTTGCTGTCCTTTGTTGACATATATTGGTCAATAATGAGGACACAAAACTAAACACTAATAAATATTGTTCCCAGAAGTTTTATGCAATCTTTTTTTTTCTTTTTAAAGAGAGACACCTATTCCTCTGGAATTGCTAGTATTTTGCAATCTATCTTATAATATATTTCCAAAAAACTGATATTTCTTCTTTACGATATTTCCATGCTCTAAAAACTTTTACAATGATGGCTGTGTACAGTTCTAAATTATTACTTAGTTTTCAGAGTTTTACTCTATTTTAACTTGACATGACCATCCTGAAGATAAAATTAGTGCATGACTCTTTAGGAAATTCAGGCAGGAGAATAATTAATTCAGTATAACGAAATTTTAAAACAACAGATCATAAGTATGAAATTTAAACATGTAAGTAAAAGTTGTAATACAGACAATATGATGAACTAGGTGTTCTCGGTGTTTTCTTGGTTTTTTGGTTTTTTGGTTTTTCTCCGGTACCAGGAACCAAACTCACGACCTTGCACTCGCCAGGCAGGCGCTTTTGCCGCTGAGCTAAATCCCCAGCCCCTATTCTCGGTGTTTTCTAACAGAAAACTTCTACAGTGCAAATGGAAATTAAATAAGCGTATCATATTGCAAAACATCTTTCACTTAGTTTATTAGAGCAAGTCTGAGTTTTAACAATTCATCAGAGCTGGTGGCAGTTCTGATGGGCTGACCATCTGTTCTGTTTGTTATGTTGTGCCATCCTGATATCAAATATTTTGATTGCAGCCTTAGCATAAAGGTCATCTAGTCATCTGATAACACCAGCAAAGCAAGTCAAAAGCTAGAATACATTACCCAAAACTACACAAAGGGGAAGTGCAAGATCCAGGCTTTGCTCTTAATTTTTATTAAAGTCTCCTTTAAGCTACCCATTTATTACGTGAATCTTTTCCACTTGTAATGCCAAGAACACTTTAACTTATTTTAAAAATAATGATAGAACTGTTTGAGAAATTAGTGCCTTACTAGAGAAATTCTAACTTCGGGCTCAGGCAGGTTGGAGATAAAGATCTAATCTTACCCTTTTAAGCTTGTTAAATGTTCTTGATTCTAAGCCTCAATTTTCTAATTTGTGAAAGCGATAACACACTTCTCAGGTTCTTGTGAAGCCCTGTAAGGTAATCACATAAAGCATCAGCAAAGGCTCTGGCACAGGAAAGGCAGGCAGGAAGCTTCTTTTTCCTTCTGTCAATCAACAATGCAAGCACAAACACGAACAAAGAAAAAAAAGGTCACTATTCACACCGCTGCATTTGCTATTAGGGGACCCAATTAATTAAAAATGAAGTTTATTTTAAGTAGTTGCAATTAAATTTCAATATTTTTACAAATAAATAAACTACACAAGAGTAGAATTATGAAATCCTAAAATAAAAAGACATATTATACTCACTTCTTGAATTAGAAATAGCAAAATTAAATGTATTATGATTGTTAATTCAGAGGGAAGGAAAATAATGGTTTTCATTTTTGTAAAAGATGCAGATTTACAAAGCTTTTCATTTCTTAGCAATCATCAGAATTTAATATTTGGGTATAATGACAATTTCTGAAGGTTTTATAAGAATCAGATTTTAGGCTAAGTAGTTGATTTTAAGTAATAGATTTTAGGCTAAGTAGGCTAATTCGTTTCTCAATAGAATTACAGTTAGAACTGTAAAGAATGTGTTAATTCAGATACTTTTTATTAAGATCAATTACTTTTTATGTATGTTAAATCATTTTGTTTATATACTCCCTAATTTTACTATTTTATTTTGGTCAGCAAATTTATTTTAGCCAAGATATATTTTCTTGCTATATTAACCTTTCTGTTATTGATACAAAATTATGCTTTATATATAAAACAACTTTGAGCCCTGCATTTTAATAAGCTATTTTCACATTTATTGCTTACATGTAAAAATTTTATGAGCTTTATAGTTAAATTTGTTGATCAGTTTTACCTCTTTTCTTTAATGTGATTTCTAGTTTTTTTCATTTTAAAAATAAAAGAAGGAAAAAATTAACAAACAGGCAACCTTTTACAAAATAGCAAAAGAACAATACAGACAATACAGAGTTACAAATACAGTGATAGGAAATTAACAATGCTTGTTGTATTACATATTGATATCTTCAAAGTGGTTTCTCAGCAAAACAGAGACATGCAATATTGATCATTCAAGGACTCATTAACAGTTTCAGCAAAGAAATGAAGGTAGTAGAACAACTATGTGAACTATCCTGTATATACATACACACCAAATTTCCCCTTCTTTCTCTTCTTTTCCCACATTCCAGTTGCCCTTTACCCTCGAGCATTTTCCTTTCATTTCACAATGTCTATCATACCTCCTAGTTTTTATTCACTCTTTCAGGTTTTACACTAGTGAGACAATGCAGTGCTTGCACATGCAAGTCTGATTTATTTCACTTATGAGTATGGTCTCTAGTTGTGACTATAAAAGCCTCCAGTTTATCTTTCTTTATAGCTGAGCAATATTCCATTATAGAAGAGTACCACAATTTTTTTATACAGTCCTCAGTGGATGGACATTTGGGTTGCTTCCACAATTTAGCAATTGCAAATTGCGCTGCTATGAACATAAGTGCACATATATTGATGTGATAATATGATGTTTTCAGATCTTCTGGGAAAATACCCAGAAGTGGAATAGCTGGGTTGAATGGGACCTCTAGACTTAGTTTTCTGAGGAATCTCCAAACTGATTTCCACAGTGTTTTCAACAGTCTGCATTCCCACCAGGAGTGGAGAAGGGTTGCTGTTTCTCCACAGCTTCGCCATCATTTGTTATTGGTTGATTTCTTAATGTTAGCCATTCTTACTGGGGTGAGATGGAATTTCAGTGTTCTTTTAATTTGCATTTCTCAAATGACTAATGATGTTGAACATTTTCTCATGTATTTATTTGCCATTTGTATATCTTTATCTGAGAAGTGTGTATTCATCTCAGCTGCCCAGTTTTGGATTGGGTCTTTGAATTTGGGGGGGGCTGATATTCTTTAATTCTTTATATGTTCTAGATAGAAGTCCTTTGTCTGAGGGACAATCAGCTAAAATTTTTTCCAAGTTTGTGGGTTTTCTTTTTACTTTGCTGGTGATTTCTTTAGATGTGCAGAAACTTTTCAGTAGGATGAGATTCCAGTTATTGATTCTCTGAAGTGTTTCACTAAGTGTTTCAGTTTGGTTTTTGTTCATGAACTCTCTGCCTACCCCTATGTCTTCAAGGTTTTTACCTACTTTCTCTTCCAATAGAGTTAGTGTTTCTGTTTTAATATTGAGATCAGTGATCCATTTTGACTTGAGTTTGGTGCATGGTAATAGACTTGGGTCTAATGTGATTTTTAGGACTTCTTTATGTAGAAATCACATTTTTAGAAATTATATATATTTTGTTGTATTGCAGCAATGATTTTCTCTTTGTATACTCAACTTTTCATCTGTACTTTGACATCTAGTTTTTTGAAGGTTTCATGTTTTTGTTTAGTGTTTCTCAATAGTAATGCTTCTCAAAGAAAGTTGATGCTTGCTAATTAACTGTCTTCCAATGAGTGAAAAGATCAGTCTGTTAAGGTGTTATGAAATAATTAATTTTACTGAATTATTGGGCAGAATGCTGTCGTAAACATTAGTGTTGATATTTTTAAATATTTCAGCATAAACATGCACATGAAAAATTAAATTTTTTTACATTTTAGGTTTTCTTTTAAGTGATTTTTTTCCATAGCAGTATTAAATATACCATATCCATTTTAACAAATATGACACAGTACTCTTTCTGCATTAAATAGCTTTGATTATATATTTCCCAAGACTTGTCTTACTTTATAACATACCTCAGTTCATGTAACAATGAACCATGCCACTATGATTTCAAAGCAAGTTGTAAGAATTTGGAAGATTCCTTGCCACCTGTAAATACACTGGTTTGGCAGAGTTACATATGACTAAAATCCCTGAGTTTCCCAAAGCAAAGCAATAGTTCTGATGACTAATTAGTTTTCATAATTTCCACTAGATAAATCAACAAAATGCAGAAGCTTTAGTCTCAGTTTCAACTCTCACAGGATGATTGACATAGCATAATGACATGCTTTGTCTCACAACCTCAATATTTGTTATTAGAAAGTTTTCAATGCTTTTATGGAGTGGAATGACTCAATATTGTTAAATGTTTTAAGACTGTAGAAGAATGGTACATCACAATGGACAGAGGGTCAGAGAAGGCAGCATACAGGAACTGAAATGATGTCTACCTAAAGAATACATTTTGACTCATTCTTACAAACAGATTATTCTAGCCTGGGTACATATTTGCAATTACTAATGAACTGGACCAAACACTGATATACAAGATACTGGCACTTGGAATACCCATTTTATCTGACTGGAACTGTATGAAAAGTTAGGAAAAAATAAAATAAAAATAATAACCCTCCCAAAAGATACAGACAAATGTGAGTTTCAAACTGTCACAAAATCTAATGGTGGCTCCATGCATCTGGAACTTGCAGCCCTGTACATGCTTCTGCAGTTTTGACATGTAGGAGGGACAAGGAGGTCCTGGAGCTCACAGTCAGAATGGCCCTCCTAATGTTCAGGAGGAGGATATTCCTAGAAAAGGGAGATCACAGAAATCTTTGCCTAACGTGCTATCAGATTGTTACACGCAGTGTATGTAGCTGTAATGTTTATTGAAAACCATTGAACAAGACTTCAGAAACTTTAAAAAGTTTATCAACTGTAATCAATTAATATCCATTCTGTGAATGTTTTTGGAGAAATGATATCCAATACAACACATTATTCAAATTTGTCCCTACCTGTGTTGTGTTTCATAGCAATATATTAAAAATGATAATAATAACTAAGAGCAAAAAGGAAATGAATTTATAGCTTAAACCATTGAGGATCCTTTAGATAAATTGTGGTATGCTTAGAATCTGTAATAACATCGGGCCATTTAAATGACTACAAGTAAATGTAAGGATTAGAGGACTTCAGTCAAAATTATAGCAGTGATAGTCATTGGAAGGCTTCTTATGCTTTACTGAACTGAAGTTTCTTTTCTGTTAGAGACAGGAAGATAGTCAAAAGGGAAAATTAGGACAAGAAGGAAAACAGTTGATCTGGCTGCGTCTAAGCATTTGGGAAATAACAGGTGCTTAAATTGCCTTGATTGAAAATTTCCCTCCTCTCCTATACCAGGCAAACGCCTGCACATCTTTCCAAATTAAGTAGCACTTCTCTGAAATACTCCCTGCCTCCTGAGAGCTCTGTATTGTTGGGCTGCAGACTGAAACATGGATTCTATTTTCCTGCTTTTGCACCTGTGTTCACAATCCTCTGTCGACCTTAAAAGCTAACATTGTATTCTTAAACAATATTCCTATTTGAAAGTGTTTATTACAGAAAATAAACTTTGGGGATGCATGTATGCTGAGCAAATGGATGAATAGATGTATTATTAAGTGAATATAGTATATTGAGTGATTTCTAAGCTTTTAGTTTGGTGGTTCTTTCCTCAAATATGCGTGTAACAGAGTCATAAACAGTGTTTGCTAAACAATGTGTATTGAGCACATTAATAAACTAAAAGGTGAAATATTTTCATTGTAATTTTTGTGTAATACCTATTTGCTGCAGCATATAGTCTATACTTGGCATAGTTTAGCATATTGTGATTGCATACATTCCTAGGAGAAAATTGCAATAGGCATGCATGATAGGTACTCTTATAGGCATTTGTAACGCATGCTTTTCACATCTCAGAAAAAAACTCATTTTTTAAATATTCAAAGCCTTCTCTACATGAATAACTTTTAAATGCACTGGTAAGGTTTTAGCCATAATTAAGAATGTGAATTCAACCCTCTGTAGAATTATGCCATAATGTTTCTGATTTACAAAGATGAAATACTTACATTTATAATTCCAAGTACATTGTGCCATTCAAAATAAATACAAATGATATTTTCTAATTAATGTTAAGAAAAAGGCTCTTGGAATGAATCTCATCATCAGTATTTAGTTTTGGAAATGCAAAGTAAATCAACTTGCTTCCTTTCCCTAGAAGTGCTGCCCCCGTTGTGACACTGTGTTTCATTTTGTAACCCATCTGCTACTTAGGCCAGATATGCATTTTCTGGATGCAATCTGTTGGTTTCCAATGGTTTACTACATGGTGGGCTCTATTGACAAGTAGGTGACAAAATTTTTGACACATAAGTAGTGTAGCGTCCTGTGGTTTGTCATGTGCTGTGCGTTGTTGCTGCATGATGAGTGTCCTCTGCCATGTCAGTTTTTTAAATATAATAGCGCATGCATGTAGAGCTTGTGTAACTCATACTACATTTTCTAAGCAGTAGTCTATTGTTGAACTAAAGCAAATTTTGTTGCATGTCCATCTTGTGATTTTCCAAAGCTATTTCAAATTGTGTCCTCCAAATTATCACATTGCTATTGTTACAGTGGCCTGAAAAATGCATTGATATATTAATATAAACTGTGTGGAAATCTCCAAAGTATTTTAGATAATTTTAGCTTCGATTTTTAAATAGGAACATTTTTTTGTTTTTTTGGTGCTGGGGATCAAAGCCAGGACCTTATGCATTCAAGGCAAGAGTGGTAGGATGAGCCACACCCCCAGCCACTAAATACAAACATCTCAACAGCTCATTCTAGTCAAGTATCAGAGATCAAAATTTTTAAGGTAGTGTTAATCAAAATATCATGCATCGTGCATTAGTACAAAAATATATATTCTTACATATGCATCATGGTGATGTTATTAATATATAAAACGTTAAAGAACAGAGAACTACAGTATCTGAATCATATTAAATACATTATCTTTCATTCTAAAAATGCTAAAAGGAACAAACAGAACTTTAGTGCTAACATACTTCCCTGTAAATGTTAAAATAATCTATAACCTTTAAATGTTTGATTAATTAGGTGGATCTATTAAAGGTCAACCAGATTAAAATATATTTAGTCTTCATTCTACATTAGTATAATTGAGATCATCAGTCATAATACTAGCTAAATAATCAAAATGCAGGTTACTAAAATTACCATTTAAATCTTACATATATTTTATAAACAGTAATATAACTTTGAAATGATAGTATTTTATTAAAAATTCATGAGAAAGACATTAAAAACATAAAATACATTCTGTCTTTTCTGATATAAACTGAAGTAAATTTTTCTTAGAGAAAGTATTAGTGTTGAAGAAAAGAAGAACTGTGAGCACTAACTTCCTAGGGAGGAAAATGAAATGGGATTGGCTACAAATTGATAATTATTAAAGGCAGGAGACAGAACATAATGCTATACTTAACAATACTATTCTCTTTTGGATGTTTGAAACTTTTCTTACTTCAAAAACTCCTTTGAAGGAATTGAAACACAGTTAAGGATGCTCCCCCACACTCCTAATTCTAGTCTTGGAAAAAGGAATCAAAAAGATTGAGAAGGGAGGGACTGTCAGTTGGATTACTGTATTTATAGCGTCTTTCTCTTCTCATTCGCATTAACTCTCCTGGGCTGCCATCCGGTGGCTGAACTGTGTAAAGCAACACACTGGAGAAAGGCATTGTGTGGATGGAATACAGAAATTAAAGGCAGACACGAAATATGCGAATGAATTGTTGGTCTATTAAAAAGGAAAGGGCTTAAATTAAATACTAAATACATAGAAAAATATCGATTTAAAATTAAAGTCTGCAGAACAAATGAGCCTCTACACTTTTCAGGAATATCATTGGATTTGTATATATTTTCTGTTGATTTAAATGCATATTTAATGATAATTACTATTTTCCAATGTTACGAGTAGAATACAACAACCAGAGTTTTTGAGGATAGACTTAACTGATACGTGTGGATAAGTGTAGCTCTGAGCAATTTAACACAGCTATTTTGTAGTGACACTTTTGTCAAGTATTAAGTTCAGCTTAATTATTACTAAGTCTTTATCTTTTTCTATCTTAACATCTAACTGTTTCTCTTTATCCAGTCATACATAACTTCTAGCACTTTATCTTTTCCCTTTTCCTAAAATAATTCTAATTAAACTGGTTTTTTAATACATGGGAAAAATATTGTGAAAGCTGAAATATAGGAAGCAATTTAAAATATCATGTGGTTTGAAAACAGATGACTTAGTTATCATATTTATGCTCGATAAGGGGCCGTATCACAGTCTTTTGGGGGTGGAATTCAAACTCAGGGCCTTGTTCAGGCTAGCTAGACAAGTGCTCTACTGCTGAGCTACATCTTCAGCCCCTGGATAACTCCTTTCAAAATGTGTTTTTGTAGGTGTAAGAGCAACTACGATGAATTTCCTAAATAAAAGGAAAACCCCAGTATCCCTAGAGCTTAAGCTTGAAGACTATCATATTGATTGGGTGTTATGGTCCTGGCCCCTCATACCATAGGAAATTTATTTGGAATAACATTCTGTTTCCACAGTTTTAGCCATAAAATCTCTGCCACAGAACACTGCTCCTGATTCAAGTGAAATATTTTTTCTGGACTACTCCTGGGGATCTTGGACTCAAAGCTTTGGTAATAATCTCTCACCTAATAACAGAGTAAGAAATCCTGCCTCCCACTTTGCTACAAAAGGCAAACAATCCCCCTTAAAGTGAGGTAGCTAATTTCAATCAGTTAATTTGGAAAAGATCCTCAAGGATCTGACTCTAAGAATCTAAATCTAAGAACTGTAGTTATTTAAATTTTATTCTTCCTATTTTAAATAGAAAGATGGTGAGATAAGTCTGTCTCTTCTTATCTGTCCTCAGTCAGCTCTGCAGAGCACTCTCCCCCTTTAAGTTTAATCTCTCATAACTCTTCAGTTCTAGTTTTTCCAGTTGGTTAAAGCAAAGTCACTGAGGAGAACAGTTGCTCTGTTTCAGCTTTAAGGGTAAACACATTTTTCTTTTGTTCACTGGAAAAGGGTTAAGTGAGGTATTTTAACAGAGTTAGGAGAGAAGACTATAATACATCACAGATATTTGTCTTTTAATTTTCTAATCACCACATACAGCAAAACAAATCAGCTTGTTCAATCCCTTGTTTAAACACTTGGATTGGGTAATTGGTAGGCATAAATACAACAGATATTACTTCAATTTAAAGATGCTCAGTTCTATAGAAATCGTCTCTAGCCCATAACTTTTATATGAGGAAATAATAAATCAGGGCACAGTGGTGCCTGCCTGTAATCTCAGCTACTCAGGAGGCTGAGGCAGGAAGATGGAGAGTTCAAGCCCAGTCTGGGCAATTCGGAGAGATCTTGCATCAAAATATATGCAAAAATAAGTAAAATAAAGGAAATGATAAAGACCTAAAACTAAACATTTCATAATCTCACATTTCTTCATTAAGGCTGACAATGTAAATTAAGAGTATACATCTCTACTCTTACCAAAAGCACCATAGAAATAAAAAAGTAAATTTGTGGTTGAGGTAGTATATTAACTGTAAAAACATAATTGTAACACACTGTTATTGCAAAATGGTTCTTTCCCAGCATGACATATATAAGTAATAAATATTAAAAAATAAACACTCTTAACATAGATGCTCTGAAACAGATACCTAATCAAATCTAAAAGTTCCCTAAATAAAAAAAATATTTTCTATCAGTAGCTAACATTATATCATAACTCCCATTAGTACTACCTATGCACACGCTATGTAAGCACATGTAAAGGCAACTCAGAAAAGTACAGCAACAAGCAATTTTGAGCAACAATTCTAACATGGTGGTTTATTTAAAGCCTACTTTTCTCTGTTGACTTTATCAAAGCCTAGATGATTTGCTCAGGTGCGGAGTGACCTTCGCTGCCAACATGGTGGTGGTGGACAAAGAAAGTACCATGAGTGCTGAGGAAGACTACATGGCCGATGCCAAGACCATCGTAAACGTGCAGACTCTCTTCAGGTACGTGTGTGTAGCCAACCCTGCCATTGCCTTTATGCTGCGCGTGTGTGAAACACTTGAATCTGACTTGTGTGCGAGGGATGAACATGTGAGGCTTACACTGACTTTATTTTCTTTCATTTCTTTCATTCAATGAACTAAGATCGAAATGTTGCAAACGTTATAACTAGGTAATTCACCCAGTTTAGAAGCAAAGTCCTTATCCTCACTATTTGTGTATGTTTCATTAACTTAACTCACCAGTTAGTTTCATCAAACCAACTCAGATATAAATCTCTACTATGATTACCCTTGGTTAAGGGTGAACAGTCCTGAACAAAGGTACTTGCTATAAGTAAAAGCAAAATTAGTTATAAATTCAATCACTTGGAATGATTTTAGAATCACCTGAAAATTTAAATATCAGATCATTCTTTTTTTAGTTTTATGAGTATATTTGCAACAACTCAAAGGAAATTTCTAAGCTAACAAATTATGAAAATAAATAAAACAGCTCTAGAAGTGTCCTCTGTGACTCTACCTTCATACCTGCATGTCATAACAGTGCTTATAATGAGGCAATTTATCTCAGGTTATAGTGTGAGTTCAAAATTCAGAGATGAGTATAAAGTTAATTCTTAGGGCTGGGTGTGGTGGCACACACCTGTATCCTAGCACTCAGGAGACTGAAGCAGAAAGATTGCCATGAGTTTAAGGCCAGCCTGGAATACATAGTGAATTCAAGGGCAGCCTGATCTGCACAGTGAGACCTGTCTCAACAACGAACAAACAAAAAAATCCAAAATAAAATTGATTCTTGGGCTGAAAATTTGGAGTATGGTATAAAGAGTCTGTCCAGCAACTGGAAAATCTTTTCTGAATTTACAGTAAAAATCTCTTGTTCCAGAAGGAGAAAGGTATGGTCTCAAGTTACCGTAACATGGCGGCTCACTTCGAATAGAGCTAACTAGTTATTGAGCTCTAGTAAGTGGTACCTTGAAAGGTAGTATAGGACATTTAAATAGGATAGATGTGTAAGCATTTTCTTTCTCTAAGGGATAAAAAAAGGTAACCATAAAGTACAAAATTAATTCAAGGATGGGATGTATAGCCACTGAGTAAAGTAAAATCAGGTTTGGATTCCATGTCTCGCAAAAGCTAATTATAGTTTTAAAAGAAGAGTACCATGGTATTTTAAAGTGCTATTTTATTTTTAGTTCACTGTGAGTTTATTTCTATTATGTTGAAGTTTCTATTGATCTGATTTTTTGTATTCTCTGAGTTATCTTTATTACAAGATAATAATAATTTCCCATGTAACTGAGAGAGACAAAGGCTCTAAGAAATAATTTAAAACTAATCAGTGAGAACAATTAAGGGCAGGTATACGTGTGCCAGCTGACAGCAAATGCTGACTTAGTCTGAAAAAGTGACTACCACCTGTTGAACTAAAGAATGAATAAATAACTTTGAATTCCTTTATTGTCAAGTTAACATTATCTTCAGAAGGAAGATCTTTTAGAAATTATTCAATTTTGGTGACATCTAGACTGAAGATAGCTAGATGGATAGATAGGTAGATAGACAGATAGATGATAGATAGATTGATTGGAGCAGAATTTTTCATAGAAGCTACTACATACCTGAGTTGCAAAGTGATTCATTCTGTTAATTCCCTCCTGAGTCCTATAAAGACATTGCCATTCTTACACTAAATACACGACAGTACTTTCAGGACAGAAACCTTGTGAAACTTTCCTAAGGATTGATAAGTAAACTGCTCATCTATATTTGCAAAGCTTGGCTAGTCTTGTGTAATAAAAACTAGGATATGTCCACAGCCCTGTGATAAAACAAATGTCACTCACATCAATAAGTGGCCCAGTCGTGTAAGACTTGAGAGTTTTGTTTTATAGGTGCCATCATTTTCCACATGCCAGGTCAGTCTGCGTTCCTGAGATTTTAGTTCCTAATTCACTGAGTCTTGCCAACCCTGCTGTAATTCTTGATGATGCCAACAGTGCTATGCTATGTTCCTTTTAGTATCTTACCTTAGCCATGCATTTTTCTGGTCATAACTTTGACCTTGAAATAGGAATAATTTAACCTTCAGTGTTCTCAATTTCTAGTGTTCAATTTTCTAGGCATTACAATTTATTTTCTACTTAATTTTTGCAATATGCCCAACTCTTCAGAGTCCTTTGACCATACTAGAAGCTATCATCTACTAATCTTACTCATTGTCCCTGGATAACTAAGGAACTTTTCCTTACTCTGATTAAATTTCAAGATTTTTTGTTCTATTTCTGTTTTTATCTTTTTGAGACAGGGTTTCATTATGCAGCTCAGGCTGACCTCAAACTCACTTTGTAGCCCAGGCTGGCCTCAAACTCACAACCATCCTCCTGCCTTAGTCTCCTGAGTGCTGGGATTATAGGTGTATGCCACCGAGCTTGGGAAAATTTCAGGATTAACCATTATAATAATTTCTGTGCAGATAACCTCACTGGAAAATTATTGATTACTTGCTATCATCTAACACTGATCTACTACTCTTAGTTTTCTGTACTTTTAGATTCTCCGTTTAGCACTTGCATAAAATTCCCTAGAATTAGATGACAACATTCTAGAAATCTGATTCAATTTCCCTTTTCAGTAAACATCAGGTAAATAGAAATCCAGTCATAGTGGATGTGTTTCTAAATATTTAGGATTAAAACTTTGGTCCCCAGCTCCTATGTCACTTAATTCTTACACTTTACTGATGCACAAATGAGTACCTGCCTCATCCAAGGCAGCTCTTAACACTCAGGAGGGAGGAGGGCGGGCAATGAGGAAAATAAGAGTCAAGATGCAGAAAGTTGAAGTCAGGCAGAGCCCTCTCTCCTGATGGGAGAAAGGAGCTATGTGGCACCTGCCGCACATTTATTTATAAAGGCATATGAATAAGTTCATGGAGAGATTCAGTGGGGATGGGATCTAGGGCAGGAAAAATATCTAATCTTCAGCAGACCAGTGTACCTTGGTGGCATCATGGAGAACAAGAAGGAAAGTGTCTATATTATTAGGCAAAGGTCAAGTCACTATGTGAATCAGCTCCCTGAGCTGTGCACAAGTCTCATGGGGCCCTGCCAAACTCATGAGAGGCAGTGGCCTTGTCCTAGATACCTGAGGTAGAGACAAAGTTCTCCTATCTTGACAATCACTACTTTCCTCAATGGAAGGCTAATTTTCTAATAGATTAATTAGTGAGACCTATGATATTGATAGAGCTGTTGATTACAGAACCTGTTTTGTGTGAACTTCCTCATTAAATCCGAAGTGAGCCAAACTGGTGGTGAAATGGAATGGTAGCTTCATCTGGAATTTAATTTAAACAACACCCATCATGGTGTTTATTCGGAAGTCTCTTAAATTAATTTACAGATATCCTAAGAGTCATTCATCTGACATAGATAAAGGTTACAAACAAAACTAGAAGAGTTCCAGAGTCTAAACTCTTGCATTTTAATCGAGGTGATCTCAGTGTGTCTGTACTACTCCATCATACTGCGGGCAAAGCAATTTAAACAACAAAATGAAGTGAATTCTGAATGTACTCAGAGCAGTACCTGACATATCACAAGCAAATGATAACTGGAAACTACTGCTTGTTGAATGAATACTTCCTAAAATATAATGGTCTAAAAATGATTTACAGGGGCTGGGAATTTAGCTCAGCGGCACAGCGCCTGCCTGGCAAGCTCAAGGTTGTGCGTTAGATGCCTGGTACCGGAAGAAAACAAACAAACAGACAAAAAAAGATTTACATAAGCTGATATCATGGCTCTTTTATTTTTTTGTCAGATTATTATTAAGGCAAGAGGCTAGATGCAATATTTTTTTAGTTTGCTTATTTCAAGGGGACAGTATTACATCTTCTAAATTATTTGACAACTGTATTAAGCCAGTAAGCATTACTTCATGTTGTTACTTTGTGTGTGTGGCTACATTTTATTTTAGGGTTTATTAAAGGCTATGGAGTTATTTGGGCCCATGGCATTTTAAATTCATTACTTTGCTGTTTTACTTTGATGTGGGGCATTTTTTGACTTAAAAAATTTAGCTTTCAAAATTCCTAAGCAACATGTTTATTAGAAAATATTCAACCTATATGGCTATGTTATATCCCAAGAGACAAGAATGTAATTCAAGTATATTATGATAGTAGAAATTATCTGATTGACAATTAATTTATGTTACTCATATGTCTTGCTTTGCCAGGTTAGAATCAGGGTTGCATTTCTTATCCAGAAAGTTAAATTGATGAATTGAACTCCTACCTTACTGGTTCACTGAGACACAGAATTTCACTTGATAGAGCTCTTTGTAGATTGTCAAAGGATCATTCAGGGTTACTGAGCCCTAAAGGGCTCCAACCTGTAGAATCTTACTAATTTAACTGGAGTGTGTGTTTGTGTGGAAAGGTTGAAGGCATGCAGAGAATTCTTTCCTATCTATAATTTAAACATGGCTTTGTAATTGAAAACTGAACTGTATAATTTAAGTTGTTTTCATTTTTTCAGGGAGGAAAAATAATCTTCCTTTTATCTTTTAAAATTCTCAGCTAGAGCCATTATAAGAAATGGACAAAACAGAGTGACAAGATTAAAAAGACAGATTAGCAAGAGAAAAAAAACTCCAAGTTTATTAATATGTATGTTGCTCATACAACATTTCATAACACTTGGGAAAGAGTAACGCAAGGAAGTAGGTTAGGACCCTGACTTAGTGAGAATCTTCAACAAAGAAAAATATAGTTTTAGAGAAGCAAAAATTTTTGTGTCTCTAAGATTGGCAGATTCAAGAAAGGTAAATATATAAGAAACTAATGGTAGGTAAGTGGTTTGTTTTGTGAATCCTTCTGCACTCATTAGATTGACAGGACTCTAAAGTGCATCTTTGGTATTTAGTCTTTCTGGGCAGAGAGAGTATATTTGTAAATTATGTCCTGGTTTTAAGTAAAGAAGAACAGAAATATT